GGTTTTGGGGTCCCCCGTGAGAGCCGGGGGGGAACCCCGGTAGCCGCGGAGTGGGGAGAGTGGAGAGGGGCGATCCTGGAGCTGGGGGACCCCCGGAATCCGGGAGTGGGGGGGGAGCACAGAGGGAGCGCCGGGCCCCTTAAACGGGGGTCGCGCAGAGGGGGAACCCCTTGGAGTCTGGAGAGGAGGGGGGGCCTTGAGACGGGGTGGGAGCCGAGACCCGCAAGAGCTTTGAGAGGGTGGGAGGCGAGAGAGGAGGGACCCCGGCTCCGGGAGGCAGAGTCGGGAGAAGGGACCCCTGAGACCCCCCTGGCAACACTAAACGGGACCCCGGAGAGTGGGGACCCTCAGGACCCCCAGGACCCCCGGCAGCCCGGAAAAGGGGGACCCCCAGAACCCCAAAATGGGGAGTCCATAGCGGGGAGACCCCTGGGATTCCCGGGACCCCCGGCAGCCCAGAGAGGGGGGGCCCCAATCCACGCAGGCCCCTCAGCAGCCCCAACAGGGTGGCATTGGCTGTGCTGGACACGGGAGAAGCTTCTGGCAGCTGATCACAGAACCCACCCTGGAGCCCCCCCGGTACCAAAACCTGGCCACAGAAATCCTATACAGCCCCCAGACCCAAACTGGGAAAACTGGGAATGTGCCATTCCATAATTTTGGGACAACTGGGAGAATCCTGTGCCTCCAGACCCAAACTGGGAAAATTGGAAATGTTCCATGTCCCATTCCCTAATTTTGGGAAAACTGGGAGTGCTCTGAGTCTCATTCTTAATTTTGAGATAATCAGGAGAATCCTGTGCCTCCAGACCCAAACTGGGAAAATTAGGAATGCTCTGTGTCCTTAATTTTGGGAAAACTGGGAGAATCCTGTGCCCCCAGGAATCAAAGAAAGGGGGATCTGGAGGCTGGAAAACCGGGAATGGCCTGGCAAGGGGTCCCAGTGCCTGGGGAAAAAAAGGGGTGTAGGGGGATCCCGGTAATAATAGGGCAGAGCAGGAGGAAACAATGGGATGAGGCTCCAAAGCGCTGATTTCCAGCAGCAGGAAGGTGGGGAGAGGGCAGGGAAGTGTCCCAGGGAATGGGATCCTGGAGCAGATCTGCTGGTCAGGGCCAGAGTGGGAAATGGGAACAAGGAATTTGGGAATGCAGAGCAGCAGAAGGGGGGGTTACCCTGCCCATCCTGAGCTTCCCAGAGCCCAGTAACTCCCAGTATGAGCCCAGTTGCTCCCACTATATCCCACTTGCCCACAACATGGTCCCAATTGGCCCCAGTGTAGTGCCAGTAACTCCCAGTGTGAGTCCAGGATGATCCCAGTCTCCCTCAGCAGGGTGCCAGACACTGCCAGTTGCCCCCAGTGTAGACCCAGTCACTCCCAGTTGATCCCAGTTGCTGCCAGTGTGGTCCCACTCACCACCGATATGGTCACAGAGACTCCCAGTGTGGGCCCAGTTTCTCCCAGTATAATTCCAGCTGCTCCAACTGTGGTCCCAGTCAGCCCAGCATGGTTCCAGTATCTTCCAGTGGATGCCAGTTTACTCCCAGCATGGGCCATGAAGCTCCCAGTAACCCCCAGTGAGGTTCCATTCACACCCACTGTAATCCCAGTTGCTCCCAGTATGGTCCCAGTCACCTCCAGTATGATCCCAGTCACTTCCTGCCATTCCCAAAATGAACCCAGTATCCTTCCAGGTCCTTCCAGTCTCTCCCAGTATGATCCCAGTTCCCTCCAGTGTGGTTCCACTTGCTCCCAGTATGAAACCAGTCATTTCCATTATGAAGCCATTTGCTCACAGCATGGCTTACACTCAGCCCCAGTACAATACCAGTCACTCCCAGATGCTCCCAGTATTATTCCAGTCATTGGTTCCAGTCACTCCCAGTATATGCCAGTCTCCCCCAGCATGCTCCCAGTCACTCCCAGTTACTTCCAGCATGATCCCAGTTGCTGACAGCCACTCCCAGTCACCCTCAGTGTGGTCCCAGTCACTCCCAGTTTGACCCAGTCACCTCAAGCACTGTTTCAGTTGCTCCCAGTCTGTCCCAGTTTCCCCCAGCCTGCTCTTTGTCCCTGCCAGTGTGATCCCAGTCCCTCTCAGCATGATCCCAGTTGCCCCCAGCGTGGTCCCATTTGCTTCGTGTTCCTCCCAGTGTGCTCCCAGTTGCCCCTATCATAATCCCAGTCACTGCCAGTATGATCCCAGTCTCTCCCAGCAGGTTCCCAGTCACACCCAGTTGCCCCCAGTATAGACCCAGTCACTGCCTCTTGCTCCCAGTTGTCCCAGGCATGGTTCCAGTTGCTCCTCATTTGATCCCAGTCATTCCCAGTATGGTTACAGCCAGTCCCAGGATGGCCCAGGTGGCTGCAGGATGCACCCAGTCCTTCCCAGTTACTCCCAGTTGCTTCCAGCATGATCCCAGTTTCTCTGAGTTGCTCCCAGTAGCCCCAAGGTGTGGTCCCAGATGCCCAAGTTGTGGTTCCAGTGCCCCCAGCCTGCTCCTTGTCACTCCCAGTATGATCCCAGTCCCCCTCAGTGTGATCCCAGTCTCCCCCAGCTGCTCCCAGTGTGATCCCAGTATAACCCCAGCATGGTTCCAGTGTCTCCCTGTTGCTCCCACTCGGATCCCAGTTGCACCCAGGTGCTCCTAGTCTAGTCCCAAGCAGTCCCAGTATGACCCCAGTCTCTCCCAGTATAGTCCCAGTTGCCCCCAGTGTGATCCCAGTCACCCCCAGTATGGTTACAGACACTCCCAGCATGATCCCAGTGTGGCCCAGTCTCTCCCAGTCCGATCTCAGGATGATCCCAGTGTGGCCCAGTGGTTCTCAGTCCCATCTCAGGATGATCCCAGTGTGTCCCAGTGGCTCCCAGGATGATCCCAGTGTGTCCCAGTGGCTCCCAGGATGATCCCAAAGCTCCTGGAACCCCTGGAGGCCCCACCCAGGGGAGGTCCCTGCAGGTTCTGTGGCTGCAGAAGAGCCCCCAGGGGAGCCGAGTTCCCCCCAGAGCCCCCCCAGGCAGCCGAAGGTGGTGACAACTCTCCAGCCCGGGGTCCCGGGAGCACCGGGGGGTCTCCAGCCCGACCCCCCAGCAAGGGGCTCCCACAGCCCCTCCTACTGCCCCCAAAATCCCTCGGGATGGGGTGGGTTTGGGGGGAAGGGGGGGCCAAGGGTGGGTGCTGGTCCTGCAGGGAGGATGAGAAGGGATGGAGGAGGAGGAGGGGAAGGAAGAGGAGCCTCAGAGTGGGGAGAGCAGAGAGGAGCCAATCTGGAGCTGGGGGACCCCCGAACCCTGGAAGAGGGGCCTGGAGAGGGGGTACCCTTGGGACCCCTGAAACATTAAAGGGGGAGCCTGGAGAGGGGGAGCCCTTGGAGCCCCGGCAGTGCAGACGGGGGGAGCCTGGAGAAGGGGAAGCCTTGGCAGCCTGGGGAGGGGGGAGTGGGGAGAGTGGGGAGTCTCAGGACCCTAAAGAGCCCAGAGAGGGGAGAGCCTGGAAATGGGGGTGCCCAAGTACCCCCCTCAGCCTTGTGGGGGGGGAATCCAGAGAGGGGGAAGCCCTGGGGGCCCAGAACCCCTGAGAAGAGTCAGGGGAAAAGGGACCCCTGTGACCTTCCCAACCCCTGGTATCATTAAGTGGGGGGACCCTGGGGAGGGAGGTCCCCCAGAACCCTGAAGTTGGGAGATGGGGGAGCCTTGGATTCCTAGGACCCCCAGCAGCCTGGAGAGGGCAGGGACCCCATAGAGGGGAGACCCCAAATACACACGGGACTCCCAGCAAACCAAACCGGGGGGACCTGCAGAATCCCAAAGTGGAGAGACCAGAGAGGAGGAGCTCCTGTCTGGGTTTTTTTGGGCTGAATTGTGATGTGTGGGAGGTTTTATGGTCCCAGGATGCCCGGTGAGTTCTAGAGATGGACTTGGGCAAGAGGAACCCCCAAGCCAACGGGCTCAGCCCTTGTTTTCCCCCAGCAGGATTTGTCCTTCCCAAAGCTTGGGCGGATGGAGGAGGAGGCTGCAAGGAGGAAGCTGCCTCAGGCCCCCCAGGCAGGTGAGGGGGAAGTCAGTGCCCCTTTGGCCCTGTCTTGTGGTGTACATGGGGGCCAAATTTGGGGGGGGTGTCCTTGGCCTTCCCTCTGGGCCGGAGGCAAATCCCCTGCCTGTCCTTCTTCCTTCCTGCCCCAGGCCCCGAGCTGAGGACGGAGAGCACGGAGGACAAATCCCCCCGGCAGAGCCTGGTGGGAGAGGCCGTTTTGAAGGGCTCCCCGGCGCAGGAAGGCAGCGGGGAGGAAAAGGCCCGGAGATGCC